TAAGTATTTATATAGATACCTTCTCTACCTATTAAGTTATTAGATAGAAGGATATCTCCTACTCCCTTAAGATATAGGCTAGCTATAAACGCTCTCTAAATCTTCTATAGATAGCTTTAGCTATTAATTAAAAAGAGGGTAAGCTAATAAACTTTACTAATAGGTGTTAATCTTCCTTAAAAGTCTACTAACTCTAAAGCTATAATACTAATAGCCTCCTTTAATAAGAGTTTCTCAATAAGGTCTTCTTATATAAGGTCTACTATAGCGTAAATATCTATATTAACTAATAGTTTAACCTTATTATATACTTAAAATATAATTACTTAACCCTTAATAGTCTACCCTATAGGAACTAAAGTGATTTCTAGCGTAATACCCCTTAAGGTTACCTCTACACCTACTTATTTCCTAAGTCTTCAGTATTATTTATATAAGAGACTGTAATAGTATTAATCCCACCCTATCTTAAGTTTAAGTTCTAGTTACTACTTATAAGCTATATATATAGTTTAATATAATTAGAGGATATATACTTATATTCCTTATAATTATAGCACTAAGTTCCCTAAAGATTAGGAGGCCTACTATTAAAGCTAAGCCTTATATAGAGGTTTACTAAGTAGTTATTCTAAGATAAGGTCTTTAGATAGTACTCCCTTAGGTCTATTAACTAAGAAGGTTATAAGCTACTCTTATAAGGGTAGTTTAAAAAGCTTAAGTATAGTTACTTATATAACTTAAAACAGCTAGCAGGCCTTCTTATATATCTCCCTTCTAAAATCTCCTATAGTCTCTATATATATAAAGCTATAGTATGCATATTAGTATAATTAACATCTTACTTAAAAAGCTTATCTTTTAAGGTCCTAGTGAAACCCTAAAAAAATACATAAGCCTTTATATTACCCATATTTAGCTTACTAAAAGCTTAGTTAATAGACTCCTAATAAGCCTAATATACAATAGGTTTCTTATCCTCCTTCTAGTAGCACCACCTTAAGGTATCATAGTAGTTCTATTCTTAGAGTTTAAGCGCTATATACTACCTTCTCATAAAAACTCTAAAGTCTTCCTATATAAGGTTAACCTGCTTCCCTAACACATCTATAAGCATTTACTAATAAGTCTACTATTCTATTTATAAGGTGTACTCTACTATACTTAAAGCCTACTAAATATACTAGCTATTAGAGCAGCTAGAGTAATACTTATAAACCTCCTCTACTATAATAAACTAATCTTCCCTTTCTATACTAGTAGATTTACTAATAAAGCAAGCCATATTATAGTTTAGGGGTTTCTCATAAACCTTTAGCAACTATTTAGTAGATACTTAGTTACTTAATATAATAGCAATTAGTTCATACTAATTAGCTATTATAGTCATAATCTACTATATTAGCACTTAGCTAGTAGCTTTATCTAACCCTCTAGCTTAAGCTAGCCTATAAGCAGCAGCTATAGACATCTAACCCTATAGCCCATCTGATCTATAAAGAGGAGTCTCATATTCCCTATTCTCCCACATACACTTATCATCCTTTTAGCAAATATTTAGCATAAATAGCCTATCCTCTTTAAAGCCTCCAGCCTCACTTAAAGCATAGCTTCTCACCTCCCCTTATTAACTTATATTATCCTCCAATCATTCACTAAGGTTATCTTCCCCATATAAGCTTACACAAGCTATCTCACTCAGCGCTCAGCAAATACTAAGCGTAAATTCCTCAACCTAATTAGTAAGTATTACTTAGGTACATAGCGCTATTATTATTACTAACCTTCCTAAAGTAAAATAGAAGCAAAAGAATTATAAAGGTATTTAGGGGCTATAAGCTACAGTTAGGTTAAACTAATAGAAGAAGCACCTAAAAGGTAAGTATAATATTACTACGCTACTTTTACTTACTTCTTCTAAGATCTTCTTTTCTAACTCTTTAATAAGTACTTACTAAGTCCTCGCTATAGAGGGTTCTATACCCTATCTCCATAAGGTTCTCTATCCTTTCAGCTTAGTCCAGCCGAACCATCCCTAAGCCCTTTTAGTCTAGGTGGCTAGACCCTTATAATTACTTATATTATTATAACTCTATTTAAGTATTTTAGTTAATAATATACTTTTAACCTCTTTTATAGTATAGATTATTTTTTAAGATTATAGACTTTATTACTTTATAACCCTTTTAAGTAGGAGAGCTCTATTTAGTATTATAATATTACTTAATAGTATTAGTTTATAGTATAGCCTTCTTAAACTTATTATTATCTAGTAAGTAATAGAGGAGGTAATTAGGTATATTAACTTAAGCTAACTATATATATTTAACTAATTAAGAGAGGACTATATTATTTCTAATTAGGTAGATACTTAACTTTTTAAACTTTACTATAATATTTAGGTATATAAATATAATATCTATTATTTAGTAAAAGCTATTAATAAAATCTCTATATATAAATATAAAGGTACTATTTTATATAGCCTCTTATAGTATTATTTAGTAAGCTTTTTTAAATAGCTAGAAGACTTTTATATCTATAGGCTAAAGTAGATATATAGTATAAGGGGGAAAAAACCTAATAATAATATTAAAATTAATATAGTATTTTATAAACTTTAAGCTAATATACTTAGAGAAGCTATCTAAAAAGAGTAACTAATATAGCTTTATACTAGCTTCTTCTTAGAGTATATCTCTATATAACTTAGTATAAATACTTAGTATTATATTATATATCTTAAGCTAATTAAAGTAGCTTCTATATATATTAATACTAAACTATAACTTTATAATATACTTAAATTACTAGAATTTTATTAACTTTTTAAATAAGTATATATTAAAGTATTTAATATAATCTATTATAATCTCTTAATTAGAGAAAGTAATTAGAGACTATATAAAGTAGATACCTTTATTAATATTATAATTAGTTTAAGTAGTAATTAGCTATATCTTAAAGATAAAATAAATTAGGATAATATCTCTAATAGTATTATTACTACTAATTAGAGTATATAACTCTCTATTAATTAGATTAATAACTTTATATAGTTTATTCTATTTTTATTATCCTTAGAATAAAATAATATATATATAGCTACTAAGGTAGCTAATATAGTAACTAAACTTATTAATATTTTAGATCTTAAAAAGTTTAAGTTTATAATCTTAAGCTATAGCTTTATATTAATTAAAGAAGTCCTATATTAATATTAAATTAAACTTAATACCTTTTTAATAAACCTTAATAGGTTTAATCTTTAATCCCTTTTAGAATTTTAAGTAATTAGCTTTTTAGAACCTTATAAAGTACTCTAAAATAAAACTTAAACCTTAGTTAGCTTAGAGGGTATTAGCTATCTCTTTAATAATAAGTAAAGTAGCTAAGAAATTAGTAGTATTAAGCTATATAATAAATACTACTAAGGCTAAATTTTTAACCTCTATTAATAACTTTAGCTAACTACCCTCTTTAAGTAGTATAGAGATATTATAACTAATCTAGAGAGTTTTTAGATACTTCCTTACTACTATATAGGATACTTTATAGCTCTTAGTAATAGCTTAGATTAATAATACTATAGATAGAGACTTACTAAAGTAACTAAAGTAGAGAACTTAATATTATATAGTATATAATACCTATATAGCTTATTTAATAGGTATTAAGTTAATATTACTCTAGTGAGGTATCTTAGTAACTAGGATTAAAAGAAGTAATTAAAAAAAGTATAATTTTAGGTTATAGTATAGTCTTAAAAAAGACGTTTTTTAGTAGTAAAACGAGAAAAATATAACTTTTATGCGACTAGCTAGAAACCCCCTTTTTTGCGTAGAAACCCTGTTTTTTCGCCCCCTATATAAGTAGGGGGAGTTTTGCGCTTGACGTGGCTGACTAACGCCCCCGGGTAGTCTATCCTGCTGCCTAGTGTCGCCCCATTGTCAGTGCTATGATGCGGAAGCCGCTGTGGATAATGAAGAAATCTGCCAGGCGCATGCTGAATAACTCCAACACGACGTGCGTCAATCGCATTCAATTTCAATCTACTGAGGACAAAATTGCCAATCTTTTGTTGCTCACTTTAGTGGTTCGACACTTTCTCGCAATGGGAAAATTCCTTCTCATCTGGCTTACACTATCGTTAGCATGATGCATCTCAGTTCTGGAAAATAAAACCGAGCATCGGGTACAAATTACCCTTTCAAGACAGTTACCCACTTATGCCAAGACGGGTCAGAGTCTGCGCCTCGCGACTGAACAACGCACCCAAATGAGATACGAGATTTCAGGCTGAGTCTGGCAAATCCACACACGACGTGTATCCCAGCCGCCTCTCTGTCTCAGTCTCTACCTTCCCTATTGCGACAGTACCCGTAGGACTGCGACTGAACGCCGAACGCACCAATCGACCTTGAAACGAACGAAATGCGCTTGGGATCCAGACTCAGCACGCAGGTTGCAGTTCACGAGTATTTCTCATTACTCAACATTGAGTAGGCCAATGGATTCTTTACAAACACTTAACAACCTCAAGGTCCGTGAAAAGCTAGTGGAATGACTCGTCCAAGGCACAATAAGGATTTTGACAGGTTTTCGCCCCAAGACAGAAACTCCTTAATGTTGGGATACCTTTTTAGCACATCTCGTCCCAGAGCATGAGCAATTGCAAAAGCTGGTGTAGTGTCTCCAGTCCGGTAACCAAAGATGGCTAACAAAAGCGCCGTCTAATGTTCCCTGCAGAAATAGTAAAGTACGTATCTTGAGTACGAGGCGGGTCCCCTTCTTATTCGTGCTCTTAGGGATTATGGTGGAAGGGTTACTCCGTACTCAATAGATCTAGCCTAGCTAAGCCCCAGTAACGGGCACTACGGGCTCCGAGCAATGTGAAAGAGCTAGTTTCTCTACGTGCCTTAGAACGGTCTAGCGGAAATCTGTCGTCGGGCTGTATTTCCGAGGGGCTGCCAGGTAGTTGGGTCCAGGGGAAACCCCACATGGTACGCCTGCCTACTTGCCGGTCCCGCTGAGGCGTTCTTTTAACCTCACTGGCCCCAATATGCAGAGAGTTGGAATTATTAGTTGCTCTCGGACGTTGCATCCTGATTTCGAAGATGCCGTGGACGCTAGATGCCATCACCAGTGATGGCAGCCCGGTCTCAGCCGAACAGCGAGGGAGGGGGACTTTTCAAGTCTTGAGACGGCTGACATTTCCCCGAAGGATACAGGCTCTTCTCGCCGTCATTCTCACTATTTTCGTATTTGCTACAACCATTCTGTTTCTGGGACCTGAAAGTCGACCTGCTCCTATCAACGATTTTATCGAATCACCGCCCTGGCAGCCATATTGGACAACGGAGCAGCTTGAGCCCAAGTTCGCATACGCCCAATACGCGACGAGTCTCAACTATCTCTGCAATGCGGTGTGTACATACGGAACATGAAGGGAAACAGGGGACACTAATTGTTTTGTTTTTTAGGTGATCAACTTTGGACGGTTGCGGCGGTATGGTGCAAAGGAAGACTTGGTTCTTATTCATCCCAAAGGATGGCTTGAAGGAGTGAGTTCATCGGACCCAGGGTTACCTATCGTTGCAGTGCTAACAAGATCATCTCTACTAAGTCATCTCGTGAGTCAAAGGCTTTAGCGAAACTCAAAGAAGAACGCCCCGAAATCCACATGAGAGCCTTCGATGTTATCTCGACAACTAAGGGCGACGCCACCTGGAGGCAGAGCTTGACGAAGTTCCACGCCTTTGCGCTAACTGAATGGACCCGAGTCCTTGCCTTCGATTCCGATTCGCTCGTCCTGAATAAGATGGACCACTACTTCCTCAGCCCAGCAGCCCCAGTCGCCGTTCCAAGAGCATACTGGCTCAACGAGAGGAGCACCGACATTGCGAAGCAGGTTCTCGGATCGCACGTGATGCTCATCGAACCGAACGAAGGACGATATAAGAAAATTATGGATGAGGCTCTGCGATCCGGAGACTTCGACATGGAGATTGTCAATCACATGTTCAAGGACTCGGCTATGATTCTTCCCCATCGACGTCTCGCTTTGTTAACAGGCGAGTTCCGCGCCAAGGACCATACGAAATATCTGGCGCCGGAGGAAGACGAGGAGTGGAATGCGATGGGGGAAGTTTCGCGATCGTTCTTGGTCCACTTCAGTGACTGGCCTCTTCCAAAGCCATGGCTGCCGAGGACGAAGCAGCAGTGGGAGGCGTCCTTGCCGGAATGTCGAGATGATGATGTCGAGAGAGAAGACCGGCCAAGATGTGCAGATCGAGTCATGTGGTCTGGGTTTTACGAGGATTATGATAGGGAAAAGTCAGCTCAATGTGGGATGTTGTTTGACGATACAGCATGAGCACGTCTCCTTCTCAAGTACCATTTTTGGCGGTACCGTTAAAAACCACGAGTATTGAAAAACTCAGCACAACTCACCACAAGCTGGAAAGAAGAACATCAAATGGAAAAGAGTCCACCGTTTGGGTATCAACAGCAGCTCAAGGCATCACAAGAGACATCGTAGGGCTAGGTTGGTGGCGTTCATCGCACCATCTTATTCATGAAGCACTTATTCTGATGTTTCCAGATGAATACGTAGAATCCAGCCCAGTCTAGTCAACATTCTTCCTCCATTAAACATGACAATCTCAAACGATGTGAGACGCAGACCTCGGCGCTATTAAGCCTTGTGGTCCCGGGTTAATAAGAAGGGCCACATAAACATCTGAAGAGATTCATCGTTGCTGTTCATGATTCTCGAGACATTCCTTTTACTTCAGCCCTGCAAAGTAAAACCGGGAGATAGACAAGGTTCAAAAGCCCCCTTGAGGCAATGGCCGTCCACCACTTTGAATATCAACTAGTGAATTTGACGGGCCTCTGCAGTCGGTTATGGTCCACAAGCTGGCGGCCGGAGGAGCATCTAGTAAGTCGTCGATGGTTCCCCAGCTGCAATCGACATTTTCATCGCTGTCGTGGAATCGCACAACCCTGTGGTGTCGTCCGCCCACGATATCTGAAGCGGGCAAAGGCCGGCTCGGTTGAGGACCTGCCGAGGGTGGGGCTCGACGTACTGGGCAATATGCACAACGAGGCGTCTTGCAGCTCTGGCATGAATCTGACCGAATTGGCATGAAGCCATGTCCACATTTGCACTGTGATAGCAATCGTCATCCAACTGCATCTAGGCACTGACGTGTTTAATACAGACAGGCTTACTTACGCATAACCACACGAAAACTGTCCGCTTCTTAGGTCCTCTCGTATGAACATTGCAGAAGTGCTCGAGACTCTGCGGGAATTCGAAATTTAGCGAATGATCGATTAATGGGAGGATGCCGTCGTTGCAAGAGGGGTTGCCGGTTGCCATATTGGGACTCCTTTGGAGGACAAATGATTTCACAGGTGAGGTCCAACTGTAGTGTTTTTGACAACGAGTACGTCTGTAGGTAGTTATGCGTCATTTATCCAGGAGAAGCATCGAGGGAAATTAGGCAACCCACATGGCATTAACGCCTAGTTGCATCAGAAAGTGCATTTTTAAGATAGCAAGGATATGTCATACCGTTCCATCTGCGAGTGCCAACGCCGGCTAATAACGCATTATCCAATCAACTTACGAAGCGAAACGGGTGGCTGCCTCTTCGCTCAGTCTCCAATGACCTGCGTTCAGTCATCTTTACACCGCCTGTTGCCTGCAGAGCTCGGGGGCTTTATTTGCTTGCGACATCGGAGGCAAAACGACAGAGGCTGCAGCTAAATGTAAGACAGCCAGCGAAACCCTTCACCAATTCGAGATTGGGCTCAGTAAGCTTTGGGCATCACCGATCGACTTTTGGCTCAACTTTGTCTACGAGGAAGTTAGGTAATAAAATACCACTCGTAGATGTATTTCAATTCTAAACTCAGTTTGATATTCAAGGTGATAGAGGATCAGACCTCATTCATGCCTGCGTCGGACCTCCGGCTATGTCTTTTATACACAAAGTCCGGGAATGGCGGAAGCGAGAAACCACTCCGCTTCATGGACACAGCCTCATCTGAGTCCATAACCATATCCAGCTTCTTTGGTTTCATAGGCAAGCAAACTTGATGCCCTGACTTTCGGTGATACCATGTCAGGGCAGGCTGTATTGCAAACGTGATTATCGTTATTGCGACGGACATAAGGGCAAAGCACGCCACCTTGTTCCCGTAAGTGAGACCTGCTTGCATCATACTACCAGCCAACGCCATTGGGGTGACGAGCTGGAACTGAGAAGATGTGAAACATTAGCTGAATTTCTTTCTGTAGATCTGGTGGTCTGATTCTCAAGACCCTCAACTGTAGAATTCAAGAGGCTTTGGAACTTACGACTGTTACATTCCAGTATTGCAAAATAATTGCCCTGCTGCCGTCAACAGCAACATGCATTGAAAGCTTTTCAAGTTTGGTTCAGCTTATGCAGGGTCCATTATTCATATCATATGCTTACCTCTGTCTTGAAGTTCTCGAGCTCGGACTTGAGACTTTTCAACCCGGTGTGAGCCTTTTCCATTTCGTCAAAGAGCTCCCTGATGTCCCAACACGTGGACACGATTCTCCCCGCGATATCATCATCCGTGCCGTGAATCAGTCGCTCAGCGTCTCGAGAGGCAAACTTTTCCCAGACGCCGATGGTCTCAGCGATGCAGTTGATGAGACGAGTAAGCAAGTGGCTGGACTGCTTGACCCAAGCTTCGCTTCTCTCCACATCTTGAGATTCGTCTGCAGCTGTTCCAAGCGACGTCTTCCGTCGACGAAGGGGAATGTGAGGGTCATAAAGCTGTTGCAGCATTGAACAGTCAGCCTCATGAGGAATAGTTCCGGCCGTCCTCACCCCCACCCCCAGTTGATATTGCCCAGAAAACAACACACCGGACAGTTGATGGAAGGACTTACGTAAGCATTGGTCCTGTCTTTTAGTTCATATAGGATCTTGATCCATTCATCTTTGATTCTCTGAACACGAAACTTCACGACCAGCAAAAAGTACTCTCGTGGATCTAAGCCGGACATGTTGATTGCGGTCCGGCTGCCAACGCTGAGTGCATCCATTGGCAGTGAAGTTGAATCTGAGTCTTCCGTACTGTCGTAAAACGAAAGGAGATACTCGTTGTTCGGGTCTGGGTTGTCAAAGTGGGTGTCGGCCAAGCACAGTGCAGTCCATACGACAGTGTTCCGTCCAGTAATGCAAACCGATGATTGGCCTTCGTAGAGATACTCATTCCCTTCAGTGAGAATTTTCTTGCTCTTCGACTCCGACAGAAAGGTGAGGTCAATGTGATTCCTCAACCTAGAGCCATCAGACATTGGGCGCGGATCTTCCCGGAGAGGCTCCTTTGTTCTCCAGGCAAAAAAGGGCATATGGAATCCCAACACAAACTCTCCTCCAACCTCGCCTCCAACCTAAATATCAAACATCATCAGAATTTTCTAGTTCACGATGCCTCGGAGTATTAGACGCTCACTGTTGAATGTAGATTAATGGAGTTGTCGGCTTTGAGATATTTGAAGATCAGGTCTTTCATAACGGGAGCTTGGTGTTCAGATGCTCTCAGTATCAGAACTCCGAGAGTATCCAGTGTTGGGCTGGGAAGGTAACTGCGAAAGAATTAAATAAATGCTTGAAACCTTTAATGGGGCCGCCATTTCTTACATCCTTCTTGTATCTGCGTCCACATGCTCGTTATGACAAAATCGCTGTTCACACCACAGTTAGTATTTTACCTGTAAGCGCATCAAAGTAAACAACTACATTTTCTTTTGTCAACTCGTAAAATCTTGAGGCTGTGATAGTTCCGTTATATGGCCGCGGTTGGTTATGTCGGTTTCTGTCATGTAGCCACGCGGCGGGCTCTGTTGGATTCTTAAGGTGGCCGTCGCGAATGTCTTCCAATCCTCTCTCACCAAAGACTTTTCTGAACACAGGTAGCTCGTATGTGGGCCTTGCAGAGCAGTCTGCAGTATCAAGAAAGATATCCAGTAGAGTTTCATCTGTGCCTCCTATTCCTATCCTTTCCCGTGCCAGCGCATGCACGTCGAACCGGGAAAAGTCTTCGTCATCGCGCGATGCGGACCCCGGGCTGCTCCACATGAATGGTCGACGCTCAGGAAACCGCGATATTGATCGGTCCATCGTGTGGGCATGATGAATCGGGCCGCAGAAATGTTATGCAGTGAATGTATCATATCTCACATAGAAGAATGAACGAATGATTCCAGAAAGTCGGGAGGCGGGCAGGGAATGGAAACTTAATACCACCAGAAGCAGGAAGACGCATTAAGCCACGACAAGGTCCGAAGGCACGATGCGTCACTTACTGATGTACACTACCCACGCGTCACAGCTATCAAATGCCCATCTGACCTCGCGGGAAAAATGACCGGAGTCGGGCAATGCAGAAGCACGTTGGTGCTCCTACGTCGGAACCAGTAGTAAACAATGAGGATTGGGCTTTCATGGCTGTGACTGCTTCTTTTGGGCTTGAGCTCTGCATCGCGGCCCTACGCGCTGCACGCGTTGGGCGTGGCAGCAAGCGTCTGACGAGCCAAATGCTATCAGACTTGCATAAAAGGGGTTTCGTAGCGATGAGGGGTGTGCAGAGATTCAAGCTATCAGCAGCCCTGAACAGTTCTTCTTTCCATTGGGTATAAATATCCTCGGTATCACCCTTCGTGTGTTTATTGACACCCACTCCCATGACCGACGGTAATGTTAGGCGACCAATCTGATGCCACAGTGGCCAACCATTTTCAAGGCAACGAAAGGCAACCGCACCTGCTGATTTCGGACGAACGGGAGATTGACACGACATCTCGTCCACTACCAGCGCCGATTTTCAGGGCGATACTCAGGACTTACCGAAAGATGCGCATGGCAGAAACAGAGATAAGAATAACATAGAAGTTCTTCAAATTAACCGCAGCCCTGAATTCCAAGAAAACCTAGGCTGTCAGCACGCTATTCTTGGCATTTTCCCTGGGAGTCGCTTCTCATCTGGCTGAACACGGGGTGATCATTGATCAGGCATCACCGGCTTTTGAAAACCTGTGCATGTCCCCTCATTCATTCGAGGCGACAAACGATGAAATGGTCACACTGATCAAGGCGAAGTGCTTTCCAGGATCGTCAAACTCCCGAAGGTCGTCATGTGGTCTGAAGCCAACGCGGGTATTGGACCATCAGGAGCGAATCGCAGCCTCAGTGCTCCAATCAGAAACGATTCTCCCCGCCAGCAAAGTACTTTCTCCGCCACACCTTAACACGGGCGATAGTTGGCCCGATGAAGCGCCGTTGCGCGGAATAGCAGGATGAGTGTGCGCATCGGCCGACCAACCCTCGTTTGATGAATAAAAGATGCCGCGGCATTACAATGAGACATGGGTAGGAGGTCGGTGGCTTTAACCCACACTCCCGGCTGCTTTGGTCCCACACTTCGGAGCGGGCCGGGTCCACACATTGACCTCACCTCAGATGACAACCCAAGTGGTCGGAACCCTTTCTTTTCTTCCCTCTCTCCTCTCCTCTCCTCCCTTCTTCAACAAAGTCATGGATCCAGGAATCTGAACGCCTGTCTGAAGTAGCCAGTACCGTGATAGAAATGTCCCGGGTCGCTACTAAGATCTAAGCAACCTATGGCGAAGACCTCGATTTCACACTTGGAAACGGCGATGGGCATACATCGCCGCCAGATGATGTCGAGAAATGATCAATTAGAGCATTCGAAACAAAGGAATTGAACAATGTAAGTATCAGCCAACTCCATGGTCCTCTGGGTATCCCGACTCCTAATTGGTATCTTCTTTGCCCAAGAGCTATTAAGTCATCTTTAAGAACATAGGATTTGGCTATGAGAGCGTCTTCTTTTCCTTTGTTCCCCGTCACAATTTCAAAATAACGACTCATTTTAACTTTTGGTGGTAAACGAACAGTTCTTCGGCCGTCCCCTTCTCCATCTCTACTACTCAAGGATCGGCTAGGGGTGACAAGGTCAACCCTAGATCCTGACTTTCGAGACAGGACAGTATGCGCAGCGGGGTATCCCGCAAGTTCGACAGGCATCGGACCGGATTGCCATACCTCCCTGGCCGCATTGACACTATTGCAAGGTCAGTGTCGCCAGCAAGAAGGCTCATGATACTAACGCATTGCCAGAGATAGACTTGCTTCCGTTTCGGACCATGCTCAATGTGAGCTGAGCACAAGTCGCCGATGCCTTGACATTTCGGGACACCCAATGAGTCACTTTCGGCAAGTCGATAGTCGTCAACGCATTGAATATACCCAAACCATTCAAGACGAATTGAGTCGAACCGATGGCAGTGTCGCGACGGTAAGATTGGCTTGGGAATAGAGAATGGTATCCAGGGACTGATTGGTATCTCATAGATTTCCAACTCGACGCAGACGGACCGCTCGACCTCTCCCTTAGACTGATCCTGACCTCGCCCGTCCATGTCGTTTCCGGTGTCGGTCGCTCGAGCTTATCCAGGATGATTACCCTCGCCCGACCACCTCCAACTGGCCCAATTGTGTTTGGAGAATTGCAGTCCAAGCCCCTACTCCTAGGCGCAGGAAATCCTGGTACCGGAAGAAAGATGTTGCTCCAATTGGCCGACTGTCTTCTCCTTTCGTGCGTGATCTCTTCGGCGATGATCTGATCTCGAGCGGGGTTGGGATTGTGCAGCGGTACGTATGTCAGCTCACGCTGCCTGAGGACACCTCTTTTCCCGGTTTCGCGGGGCTGAGCCTGGTCGTAAGATTGCGGGCTGAGGATGCGTTCCCGTGGGGATTTAGCGTGCGTGCTGGGAACTTGACGATGCTACCTGCTTCGCACAATGGAATGCCAATTTGATTTTTCAGCGTTCAGTGCGCTGATCATTAGCGAGGGCTGTGGAAAAAATGGAGGCGGTGAGACCAACCTATCACAAGCGACAAACTGCTGCTGGAAGGCTGCTGTCGTTGGTGCAGGAGTCCGTCTCATAGATAAAGTCAGACGACAGAGGACCCTGGTTGAGGGACCGTTCCGTGAATCGGAAGGCCATTGGTATAGCGGTGAAGAGAGTCGTAATAGAAGATTACGATACGGCCGCTGTGCGAGATTAGTGTTTTACATGGTGCTGTGCTCCATGCTGGGTGACATCAATCGCCACAAGGAAAGCCAAGAAAATTTGCCATTACAAGCGCAAACAAGAGAAGACCAAAGAGAAAGTGCGTTCTTTGATCCAAAGGGATTTCGTTTATGTCACCATGCACCGAGCATCAATCACACTTACGTGTCTCTGGTCTGCTAGCCCACACCAAGCCCTAGGCCCCGCACTCGTGCTCTAGACCACAGCGAAGTGGCAAGCATCGCATGTACACTGATGTAAAAACCATAGGACCGCTGCAACCTGTAATCCGTTAGATTCATTGGTCCAAGAGGGCGTTGATACGGCGAGTACCCGAACACAGGACCCGCAGAAGAGTACGAATGATTGCAACAAGACTAGGATTGGAGACGGTTCCCTGTACTGGATGATGTACTACAAACCCCCGCGCACAACCATCCCTTTTCTACCAGACCACTGCCCAAGAGTTTCACGATGACAACTGCGCAGACACGGATCAGGAAAGCAAGGACATGTTCAGACACTATGTTTGATACCCTCCTTGCGCTACCCCGACCTTTGCAACGCCAGAAAGAAATCTGTGTCGCGTGCTAGGATCGCGCTTGATGGAGCTTGAATCGCCGGCCCGAGCCGAACTTGAAATGATCAGATGACTAGGCGAGACGAGACGAGACACCACATGGTACGGAGGCCTGGTACACGTAGTAAGGAGAGGGCGCGTTCTGAAATCTTGTTTCGTATTATTCAGATGGCCAATGACTTCAGATACCGCTATCTCGGTTCCCAAAGCTGTTAGGCATTATCAGGCCTGGAACGGTGTTTACGACCAGAAACGTGACCGGCAATGAGGTGCAATTATTCATTACACTGACAGTATAAGTATATAGGTACCCATATGGAGTGATGAAGTTGCCTACCCGCACCCGTTCATCCAATCCAATTGCGGAGTACCTTCGTGTAAAGCTAGACTACCACCCTTTGTAGTGAGAGCGTCGTAAGGTTTATGTTCCGGCGTTTTCCTTTAATCTTGGGCCAGCGAGAGGAACAGAGAGAATGATTGTACTCACTCGAAAGAGCTTCAGAGTGAGATTACGAAGTCCTGATGCTTCCGAAAGGGCACGAATAAGTATTGCTATGGTAGGATTTGGTTGCTGAAGTTCAGAGTATTCTTCTGGCTACCCAAAACTGGGCCGAGTAGGCGTTCCGTGTCAAGGCTCTTTCGTTAAACCCATAAACCGCTTGTTTTCCTCTGATCCGTTCTCCCTCGACCGTAATGTCCCCGCAAGACTCGTCTGCATCTACGAACTCAAACCCCATATCCTTCGCAATCAGCACAATCTCATCCAGAGATAGTTGCACAAATGGTCCGGTACCCCAAAGGAGAGGCCCGAAGTTGACCCAATATCCTCCTTTCTTCAGTGTGGCGTGGATCGTTTCAAAGTAGCTCATGGCATTTCTGGCGGTGTCGATGAAGAAATGGGTAACCACCGCGTCATATTGCTCTTTGTGGTTCTTGAACTCAGACACGAAGTCGCCTTCGACAAGTAACACGGAGCTAGCGTTGACTCGACGGTCGGGGAAAGAGACACCGCGAAACATATCCGCGTTCGTCGCGTGATGAGACCAGCTGTCTATGAACGGGTGAACCGACTTGGCTCCTACCTTCGGATGTCCCTCGAGGAAACGATACGCCAGGTTCATGAACATAGACCACTCGTTGACAGTTACCTGAAAGCCACTCAGAGAAGCAATCTCGTGGCCCAAGCGGCCAAGCCCGGAGCCTGGTAGCAAAACTTTGACACCCGCTCCCGACCGTTCTGGAAAGAGAGTTTGCATCGTACTCAGAATACAAGGAAACGCGTCCTCCCGCTCTCCTCGGCCCGATGTAGACCAGTCTCTCACAAAATGTTTCAAAGCCTGAGAAACGCTAACTCGGTCCGCAAGTTGATTCGCAGCATCTTTGGCCTTGCTGTGGGCAGCTAGCTCCTCGTGCGAGATGCCGTAGTACCCCAGCGCTGTCTCGAC